GTCCTCTTCCAAGCCTCTCTTGATGCAGGCAGACTGCCTCCTGAGTGGAAGACTGCGTGGATTTCACCGATTCATAAAAATGGCAGTCGCGCTTCCGCAAACAACTACCGACCAGTAAGCCTCACCTCCATATGCTGCAAAGTTATGGAGCGAATAATCAAACGCGAACTGATGCGGTTTTTAGAGCAAAATCATCTTCTGTGCGATGCACAGCACGGCTTCTGCAGAGGGAGGTCCTGCTTGACCAATCTACTCTACTGTCTTGAACAGTGGACCCGAGCGATTGATGAAGGAAACGTTGTGCATGTGGCCTACATAGACTTCAAGAAGGCCTTTGACAGCGTGCCACACCAACGTCTCCTATACAAATTCAGCCGCATAGGGGTAAGAGGCAAGCTTTTGAAGTGGATTGAAAACTTTTTGGTCGGTCGGTCCCAGACTGTTCGTCCTGGTGGCCAGCAATCGGCAGAGGTGACGGTTACGAGCGGAGTACCTCAGGGCTCCGTTCTTGGCCCTATCCTCTTCCTCATCTATATTGATGACTGTATCCATGTATTGGACTGCAAGATTGCCATGTTTGCTGACGATATAAAGCTTTGGACCGTCATCCGCAACGAGGACGATGAAGAAAATTTACAGGCAAACTTAGACCGACTCGAAAAATGGTCAGGCCACTGGCTCCTCCCATTTAATGTTATCAAATGCAACATTCTGAGGATTGGCAGAACCAGCTCTGCGCACCGGCAGACGTACTATCTAAATCACACACCGCTGCCACTGGTAGAGGTTCAGAAAGACCTAGGGGTGTGGATAACATCTTCACTAAAGCCATCATTCCACTGCTTGAAAGCAGCGAAATCCGCAATGTCCGGCTTATATCTCATTAAGCGTGCATTTGCCAAGTTCGATGAAGAGTGCTTCCGCAAGGTCTTCGGGATGTTTGTGCGCCCACAGTTCGAATTTGCCATTCAGGCCTGGAGACGCTGGACTGTTAAGGATCGTACCACCCTCGAAAAAGTCCAACGACGGGCAACCAAGCTTGTCAGAGGTCATAAAAACCTACCTTACGAAACCAGACTTTCAAATCTTAACCTCTTTCCCCTGGACTACAGACAACTCCGTGGCGACTTAATTCAAACGTTTAGAATGTTACGGGGTCAGGACTGCTGCCTCGCATCCGGCGACGTCTTTGAGCTGGCCACCACTACTAGCTTGAGAGGACACCCTTTGAAACTACGTGTGACAGGAGCGAGACTGGACGCAAGGAGGTCCTTCTTCAGCCACAGAGTGGTAAAGGCATGGAACGCCCTGCCTAAGGATGTCGTCATGTCCTCATCCGTGGACTCATTTAAGAGAAAGCTTGACCAGTACAGGGATATGTACCTCCACAGCATCAGAAACTAACGAATTCTCCCCTGTGCCACCCGCCCCATCCAACGTTTTATGTTACAAAGCATGCTACTCCCTGTATTTTAGTAACATTACGTTTTACAATTTTCGCTATCTCCTGACCGCCACATATGCGCTTGCTTTGATATTACTTGGTCCATTCATTGCCGTACTGGATATTGTACAATTTTGACATAGAAGGCATTCACAGACAAATTCATACCAGTGACCAATGATTGTTGTATGTAATTACTTTCTTAATTTTTTTCACACTTGCCTTACACATTGTTTTTTTATGACGTTATTGTAACCAAAAGGGAGTTCAAAGGCGCTCGCCTACTTTTCCCTTAATAAATCTGATCTGATCTGATATAATAAGGCACTGTTTGATCCGTTTACTGAATGAGATTCTCTGCGAACTAAACGAAAA